AACAGATAAATATTAGTTTCTAATTTCCACTTTGTTGTTCTTTATAAAAAATTACATTTTGTGTGTTTTTGATTTCAGTTCTTTAGTCAATTCTTTTTCCCCTTACAAACATATGCTAAATACTTATATATGGTTCTGTTATGAATTAATTTATAACAGAAGTTAAGTATATGCTGTTAACTTTGCCATTACTGTATATTTTCCAAGTTTAAGTTGTCAACCTAATATCTTTAATAGTGTTTCTGTTTTCCAATGTGCAGAAATTCCAGATCTATACAAATATATGTCAGAACAATGCTGATTAACTGAGTCCATGAAACCAGAAGACTGGTGTGCTTTTCTCTGTCAGAAAGTATGGGTATCTTCTGTTTATTCTACAGCATGAAAAAAATGAAATAAAATTTAAAAAGTGAACATTTTTAATACATTGATCATTCAGCCATTGGGTGAGCTTACATCCTATTACTAGCTCAATTTTATCTGTTAGTTACATGCTTTACTTATTGCAAATTGACATCTGTCAGCCATCAGACCCTCCAGCAGAGTGAAAAATAGGAAAGTTGACAGAAAGACAGCTAGACAGATAAAAGAGAGCAGCTATTAAGACACATAGATACAAACTGTTGTGATTGGAGCTCTAATGGAAACGAATTAATGTCAAGAGTATAGATAAATGCAAAAGGCATTATAAAGAACAAAAACAAATGCAGTTTTTAAAGGCATAGGCCAAGATATGATTGCATCACCTTTTTCCTTCTTCATATTCTACACATTTAATCATACTGAAGAATATTTTAAAATGATACGAACAGTTTAGATAATTGTTAAACTGACCATTTCAGATTCAAAATGTTTGGCATTGTAGATAATTTACATCAATTATTTGCATTTTATTATATTTCACTGAAATAACATAGTATTACATTAAATAATGGGTAATTTACATTGACCAAATGATTTAACTGCTCTTAATTCAAGAGTGTCATCCAGAACTAGATGGACTACAATCTCAAGAAGAATAGTCACTTCTGAATGAGATGGACAGCATGTAAATGTAATAAATAAATAGATAAAAAATATTCTCACTATGTACATGGAACCATGGCTTCTCTCTGGAGCCACTTAAGCAGACTTAGACAAGTTACATTCATGTAGCCTATTCTGAAAAACGCACCCAGCCACCCCCCACACCCTCACATGTTTCTTTCACTCCCATTATACATATATAACAACTTTCTTCTTATAGATGTTGCATATTTTACAGTTTATCCAATTTTAAGCTACATAGAGGCTCTTTTGCATCATTGATCAAATCAAATCAATAAATGTTTTCCTTGTGGTTGTAGAGACATTTATAATTTGATCTACAGTATTAAGTTATTGTTAGTTTTTTTCAAAATTTAGGAAATATTCTATTTATTTTTTGAACTCTTTAATTTCTTTTTCCTAATACTGTATAAAACTTCCTTATTATTTCCTACTTATTTTTTGTTGCCTTTTCTTTATTCACTGTGTGACTCTCAGATATGCTGTATTTGAATGGAAGATTACTACAGTGTAATTCCCTGGATACACAGTGAACTATGGACCTGCATTTTCAATGTATTTGAAGAGCACCTTATTGGCAAAAGCAAAACTAGTAGAAGAAACAACATTCCTTTTTTTAGCTTCCATATCATATACGTTTGGTATTCATATTTTTTATGATAGTAGTAATTTGGGATTTTTACAGTGTTGATTCTTTGTAACTTTTGTTGTAGTCTTCCAAGACCCAATAATATTAATCTAATCTAATAACTACATTATTATTAAAAGAGAGGAAGGATTGTTAGAAGACAGTGAGATTTAAAGTGGAGAAAACACAATTATGAAAGGAAGGATGAATATGTGTGAAAGGTTTTATTCTATTGGCTTTGTAGTAGCCTGGATAAATTCCACTTTAAACACAGACACCGGAGCAAGTGCACATTCGTATAGCTTGCAGATTCTCAGCTTAAGGTATATATATGTACTGATGAAGAAGGAAGACACTACACAATTTTATGTGTACATCTATGATCACACACACAACCAATGAAATCTAGAGTCACTGAATGAATTTTATTGTTTTCCTTCTATGCTCCCACAATTCCAGCTGCTGCTTATAAATCGCTTCTTCTACTTGACTTACCCCTTTGATTGTTTTGGCATTTATTTCTATGTATATACTACTGAAATATCTATGCAGTACTCTATTGATGTACATTAATTTGAATAAATCAGATTTTCTTTTAATTCACATCTGAAACTTCTAACCATGCTATCAGTTATTAATATATGTTGTGCATGAGTACATATTTGACTACTCATATAGTATAAAAACTACATCCTCTTTCATTAATGAGCTTTTAAAATTACTCCTGCAGTGCCAGATAATCCTCTTTCTGCTTCATGCACTATCTTTAATAATCATTCCTAAATTTTTGACTGCTCTACATAATGATGTATCTAATTCCATCCTAAATAATTGAAATAGCATAGATTGCATTCCATTCAGAAAAACAGGAAATGCAGATTGTCCAATAGAAGAAACAATAATCAGCTTTTACAAAGACTTTAAAGCTTTCTTCATACTTTACCATGCAACATTATTCTTATTTACTTATTTACATTACTTCTAACACATTCCAAAGCCAGAGGGCATTGGGGAGGATATAGCAATATATAATCTATATGTCTATGTCCATATTATCTATATTTATATCATTGATCATCTTCTTAAAATCTAAGAATTAAATACACAAAATCAAAGTTCCACTCAGAATTGCAAGGAATTAAAGGTTTGGCGAAACAGTAGAGAATATATTATGAATTATACCTCTTATTTCTCATTAAAATCATTGGATTGGATTGGATAATCAATGGATTAATAATCCAGTTTCATTCTTGTTTGTTTCACCCTTTGTTCCTGTACTGATTTGCAATTATGACTTTATAACAGTGTCTTTTCCTTGTGTTTTAAACCAATGTTCATAAGAGATTGTTATATTCATTAGAGTTTGCTAGAAGTAGATTTGTACCACAGGAACGTTTGAAAATCTATAATCATAACTAAAAAAAAGAGATATAAACCATAAAAGTATTTCTAAATTTCTTTACACTACTGAAAATGGTTACCCCGTCTCACAAAATAACCTCTCATAAACACTGCCACAATGTGCCCATTCTCCATCCATCCATCCATCCATCCATCTATCTATCCATCCATCCATCCATCTATCCATTTTTTTTTCTGACCCCTATGGATGGTACGTGTCTTCTTCAATCTCAGAGGCCTGGGAAATTGAGGGTTCTTTGCAGGATCTTAGCTGTTCCTTAGTTTGTTTGGACAGAGAGCTTTGACGTTGTTCACAGGTTGTGTTACAACATGCTTTCCCAGCTTAGGAGTCACAGCCTGAGTGCTCCTACCATGACTAAAACACTTTGGCCTTTACTTTCCACATCCTCTCTAGTTCCTTCTTCAAGCCCTGATATTTCTCTACCTTCTCACAGTCCTCTCTGGACTTGGCACTGCTACCTCTAACTTTTATTTCTTGTTTATTACTGTGATATAAAATTGTTTGACTAATACTACCAGTCCATCTGGATCTGAAAGACCTATCAAATTTTAATCCTGTTATTATCTATGAACGTCTGTGGAATCTACCATCTGGACTTGGCTGGGTCTAGCCATTATACTGCAGATGTTCTTGTACACAATGCCAGCTACTTGATTATGTGTAGTGAATGCTATTCCTTCCTGTACCTTACACCCTGGTATTATCTGTTGAACTATCTCTAAGGTCTCTTTGCACAGTTTGCCCCTTGGATCCTGTCAGGTATACCCTTGCTTCTATTGATCTGATGCCTAGTGCCTGTTCTTGTGCTCCTATGATCAATGCTTCAGTGCTATCTTTTAATTCAGACATTCCAGCCACATTCTCAATGGCTGCCATTTTCAGCTATCTCTAGATATATCTCATGCAGGGTCTTGTCTTATTATGGTATTACCTCTGCTTGATCTTTCTCCTATGTCTCAGGCATTATCTCAGAGTTCATCTTTGGGTGCCAACTTATTTATATATTCTTGGATTCTGTAAGTTTTGTATAGACAGGATTTTTACCAACTCTCTACATTGTATGTAACCATTTCAAAAGTCTTAATTGCTGAAGTCATAATCTATAGCTTAATTTTTACATTGAACATTTTACATTTTGCATTTAACATGCATGCGCAAAATGTAAAATCACAGAACCGGCAGTTACACGGGTCAGATCCCACCTCTGCTCTCATCCCACTGGGATTAGCCTTCTGTGCTGTCAGGAGAGCCATGCTGCAAGCCGCATCTGCCGGGGCATTGCAGCTGGCAGGTTCCAGGAGAAGAGCCTTCTCTGCCATGTTCCTGCTGTTTGGAATATCTTGCCCCCAGAGTGAGGTCTGCTCCAACCCTCCTGACCTACTGCGAGAGCTTAAAGATCTGGCTCTGCTAGCTGGCTTGGGCTCCAAAAGAGGGACTCATATTGGGAGTAATTAATAGATTAATATCAGATTCCACTTTTCTCCTGCTCATTCTTCTTCCCCCTCCTCAATTTTGGCTGTTATATATTTTATTTTGATACTTTTTTAGTATGTTAGTTATATACTTTTATTTATTTTTTAAAATATTGTGAGCCACCCAGAGTTATCCTGTTGTAAGACTTGGGGGGCGGGGGAGGGGGGGGAATAAATGGATAAATAGATAAATAAATAAGATAAAAACTCAGGATTTTCTTTTGAACTCTGCATATTTATTACAAATCAAACTCAACCACACATGTCTTGGAATCTGAGTGATAGATAAACTAATGTGAATACCTACAGACACAAGCATTTTCAATCAGTAATTCACTTTAGACCTAATATTCCCAATTGCTAGTTGAGTAACATTAGATACATATTCTGTTAGACATACAAGGATTTTGGGTCTTTGTTTGAGACTTACTTTCATCTCCAGTTTCAAATTCAAACTTTTGGCTATAGCCACTGTATCCTGTTGCAGACCTGAGTCTGATATGAAATATGTACTTGGTGGCTGGTTTGAGACCTGTGACAATGACACTTGGAGCCTTTGACCTTGTGGAAGAATAGCTGAGCTGCTCATTCTCCTGAGGGACAAAAGAAGAAAAAATATAATGTGACATACTAGCAAACTTTCAAAACTAAATTTTGTTATTAATGTAAAATTGCATTCATTCAAAGGCTAAAAGCCATCACTATGGGTTGTGGCACAGACTAGGCTTAGCTATATAGTAAGAAATGTTTGTTTTTTTTATACAACAAGAGTTGACTAATTGTGAACTCAAGAGTTAGTAATTAGACATCATAATATGAAATTAGTACAAGACTGCATTTATAGAAAATGGCGATTATACACTTTAAATCATAGATACATTTGGATTGCAAATATCTACTAAAAGCATAATGTATAAATATGGGAGTATGCCAATGTCTCTACTCACTTCTACCCACAGGTAGTGCCAAAATGCTGGCACTATCTGTGGGTAGGCTTGTGGGTAAAAGAAAGGAAAATTAACTCTGTATTTTTGCTTGTAAAATGCGGTTATTATCTTCTTAGATTGGAGATGGGTTTTTAAGCATACAATTATCTTGCAGATTTGTATTTTGTTACTGAAATAACACAGGGAATCTACTCTCCAGGGAAAATTAAAAGCATGTATATTTTTCGTATGTTATAATGGATTTCCTTCAAAATCAGTTTAATAAAAATTATTGAGTGAAATTATTTTTAGATATATTTCAACCACTAGTTCAGTGATTCTTGGACATAGACATACAATTCTTTATTGGCCATGTGTGATTAGACATACAAGGAATTTGTCTTGGTGCATATGCTCTCAGTATACATAAAAGAAAAGATACATTCATCAAGAATCATAAGGTACAACACTTAATAGTCATAGGGTACAATAAGCAATCAAAACATACTAGGAAAGAGTCAATAAAAATTGTAAGGATGCAAGCAGCAAAGATATAGTCATACAGTCATAAGTGGGAGGTGATGGGTGAAAGGAAGGATGGAAAAATTAATAATAATAGTAATGCAGACTTTCTAAATAGTTGGACAGTGTTGAGAGAATTATTTGTTTAGCAGAGTGAGGGTGTTCGGGAAAAAACTGTTCTTGTGTCTAGTTGTTCTGGTATGCAGTGCTCTATAGCATCGTTTTGAGGATAGGACTTGAAACAGTTTATGTCCAGGATGTGAGGGGTCTGTACATATTTACAGGTTCCAAAACATTAAAAATGTTTCTATGCATCTCATTTGGTAACAAGTGAAACCAGATCATTTTTTGAGTTTGTAAGTTTCTGAGGGTTAAGAGATAGGACAAAACAATTTACATGCTTAATAACAATAGCAGTATTTTTCCAGTTCACTACATAGTTGTAATTTTAAGTTTTTTGTTTTTTTATATTTTCAACCTTACAATACCTTAACTTCAATCTAAACCAAATTATAATTCAATTTAGAAAGGAATGATCATATAACCTAAATGGTATCATTTACATTTAAGTTTTCAAAATTCTGAATGCAACCTTTGGAATTCTGAGAGACAAATAATAAATTAGCAAAAAGTATCCACTTGGGATATTTATCTGTAGTAAACCAAAAATATAGTGTATCAATTATTAAAAGGTATTTTATGTCTGATATTTTATATTAGATTCAATAAACAAATCTAAACATTTCAGTGTTCAGAATTCTCAGAATATTGTATGGAATTCTGGGAGCCATTGGGAAGGATTGTGATAAACCATAAATATAGAAAAAGGCATTTTATGCCTGATGTTTTATATTAGATTCAATAATGAATTGTAAAAAACAACCCTTAGAAAAAAAAAACCTTCTCCCACCAAGGGGTTTTGTTCTACTACCACTGCAGGTTTGAAACATGAAGCCCTGTAAATAAAATTGCCCTAACTATCTCTAATCTTATGCAACTATAAAGTGAAGAAATTTATGGCATGGCAAAGTTTTACATACTGCTCCAGAGAAAAAGTACATCATTGCTATCTTAGCAGTATGTAACAATTACTATATGATTAAGTTGTTGTGTTCAGGGAAAATGAAGCACTGGGGAAAATATTAAATGATCTGTCATTTTCATACTTCAAAAGAGGATAGATAGTTAAAAAAACCCTGTCCTATAGGATGTCTTTATTTTGTTATTTATTTTAATGAAGTCTCCAGCATATTATTATATTTTGCAATAGCAATCCATTGGTAAACTGAACAAGGAAAATATGAAATATTTATGCATAAATAAAAGAGAATACACAAACCAGAACATAAAAGTATGCTATTCCCAAAAAGCAATTAAATTTTGCCTCTTCAACAAGGAAAAGGAAATGATGTGGCTCCAATACTACTGATCCTTCAAAATTCAACATAATATATATTTCCCACCTTAAAAAGCAGTAGGAATAAAAATATTAGCTGACAGCCTAAGAAAGTCCCATTTTGTTGATAGATACTGGATCCAACATTTAAACCTTAAAAATCAAAGAAAATAATAAGCTAGTAGGTATCCAGACTGATTGTATAACTGAAACTCCTTCATTTTATTATTCTCATTTTATTTATTAAAATAGGCCTATTACGATTTGCTTTGTCTTATTAAAATAGGTATATTAAATCTTAAATACCCTGAAAGAATTAAGATCAAATAAAGAAACAACAAAAGGGAAATAAACAAAAAGAAAATGACATAACATTTCACTTCCTGATTACCATATTATCACAATCTGCTCAATGTACGCTGGGGAATCCCATCAGATAAGTAAACTATGGCCCCTCTGTCTAAAAAGTGAAGAGATGAATATTTTTTTTAACTTGAGTATAGATTTGTCTTGCTAGAATAGGAATATCTAAGAACCAAAATTATATTGGTAGAAGATATAGATAATTCATTTGTTTCGTTTAATAATAAAACTATGTTATCAGTTTGATTCAGAGGTGATATTAAGCAGGTTCTGACCAGTTCTGGAGAACCGGTAGTGGAAATGTTGAGTAGTTCGGAGAACTGGCAAATACCACTTCTGACTAGCCGTGCCCCCATCTATTCACTGCCTCCTGAGTCCCAGCTAATCGGTTGGGTCTTCTTCTTTTTTTAACAAAGATTTTTATTAATTTTCAATAAACAAACATACACAAACAAAACACAAAACATGAAAACATAAAACTTCTTTTTGGAAAGCGACTTAGTCCCAGGTTACATCTTTTTGTACAGACATAAATCAAATTCATGCTCACTTTGTATACCATTTCATATCTTATTTACCATTCTATATTTTCTATATGGATTTTCCCCTCTTTTCACTCTCTTAATTTTATTTTATTTATTTCATCTCAATTTAAATCATTATACTTGTATCTTTTGTCTGTTCTGTTTCAATTATCTAATTATCTTTTCTCTTTAACACAAAATTTCTCCTGTAATCACTGATTGAAGTATGACGCTTTTATATCTTTCCCCTAAATTTAACACTTAAAATAATATATAATTTTCATTCTGATTCTGCTTACTACATTCTAAAGCTACGTACTACATTTTAAAATAAGAAAATAAATTTATAATATAATTAAAACAATAATCCATAGCAAATTAAACTCTATCATTAAATCTTAACCATTTTACACATTCCCTTTAATATTATATTAAATCATATAATGTTCCAGTTTTCTAACTTTATTTGAAATACAAATACAACAATAGTCTTATGTACTTTTGCAGAATCTCTTTTTTAATTATGTTTTTACCCTTTATCTCTGAAAAAAACCCTGTTTCTTTACATCTTGTTTTAAACCTTTGTAACTTCTCTTCCCTTTTTCCCTTCCTTTCTTCTCCGATCTAGCCTTTTTACCACCCCCCCCATCTCTTGATCTCCACCCTCTTAATCTCTACTCTCTTCTGTATTCCTCTTTTCTGTTGCTTTCTGACTTTGTATCGATTTTTCACCTTATTTTTCCCTTTTTTGGTTGTTCTTTTAAGTCTTAAATTCTCCATTCTCTTTGCCCTCTTTTCCTTTTCTTCCCCAGCTAAAGTTGTTTGTTCATTAAAGATGGCTTCTTCTTCTTCATCCCAACCTTCTTGTTCTTGTAATTCCTGATAGGTAGAAATCACCATTTCTAAGAAATGAAAAACAGATCCAGAAGAGGCCTTCCCTTCTTGTTCCTCTTCTTTTAGCTTTTTAAATTCCATTTTCAGTTCTTCAACAGATAATGCCATTGTGAAAATTTTTAAACAACCCAAATGTTTTTAGTCTTTCAAATAATAATTTCCAAAGGTCCCAAAGTCACCAAGCAATCCAAATAGACACAAGCTGTTTCATTTAGCACTTTCTTCTTTTTATATTTTCTCTTCCTGGGGTACAGTTCAATTGCAAAGTTCCAAAATGTATCTTTTAGAAGTCTTGTTACAGTTTAACTCTGATCTTATAAGTTTCAAGCAGCCTCCTCCAGCAAACTCTTAATATTAATTCTTTACATCTCCCTTCCCACTTATAGCCAAAAAAGAATTTTTTTTTAATTCCAATGTTCAGAAATCTTTAATGTTCCCTTGGCTTTAATTTTCAAATTTAATTACCTGCTGATGCCAAAATGGGTTTTTCCAATTTCCATCTACTATCTCCGTAAGGAAGGAGAGTGAGAAAAAACAAACTTTCCCTTTTAACTTTCATCCGCCACTTTTTACGATCTTCTTTGGGAACAGTGTATCTTTAATAAAGTTAAGTTTCCAGGGTATTTAGATGTTACTTGTTATCCCAGTTTAGCCAAAAACTTTCACTTTCTCAGCTTCCTCCTGCACATTCTTGTCCGGATGAAAGCTTCTTTGTGGTGGCCATTGCTGACCGCCGCTCCACCGCTTTTGGAAAAGGGAGTTAAGCCAGCTGAGGAGGGGGGGTTGCGATTCTCCTGAACCCCTGCTGGATCTTCCCTGTCTTCAGTCACCTCTACGGGGTAACTATTAGCCCCCAAATCCAGCTGAATTGGGGGCACTCCAGTGGCAAGCACAGCAGGAACCGTGCATGATCGCGGATTCCTGCCGCCGCCGAAGTCTTGCAAACCGGAAGTCCTGGCTGGGTCTTC